CGCCGAGAACAGACGCTTCATGCCAGCGGTTTAAAAAACCACAGCGACAGCGATGTCTCACTTCTTATCTACAAACACGCGTGCCGAGTTGCCGCTCTCCATACTGACAAATTCCTCCAGAATCGTCTCTGTTCTCTCTGCATCGGTACGATCACTCTTCTCCGAGCGCTCCAGGCCTTGGAGAATGTTATGGACGTCTTTAAGCTTTGTTTTCTTGCCTGGATGATTCTGATAGAGAGCACGTTAGTAAATTAACGTTGCATAACAATACTAGATTTGAGATCGATTACCTGTCTTTTTGCGTAGCCACGCGAGGATGCCCTTAGACGACGACCCGGCAGACCGCATTTCTCCCATTGTAGAAAATAGCATGGGATCCTGAATTGTGCGGTTCTCAGCGTAGTAATCCCACAACTCGTTACTCAAAGGATGGTTGTGTTCACCCGTTGGCCGAACGAACACGTAGAAGTCCGACCCCATCCGAGACAAAGTGGCGTTTATCTTGGCAGTTCAACATGTGTATCTAACAGACTGATGTTCGCGGACGCCGTTCCCACGAGCTTGATGAGAGACTCCATGTGTACAGCGCAACGTTTTGCACTAATGCTTCAACTTAGCGGGAAATGTCGAGACGGATCCCCCATCTGATCGTTCCGTTTCTTCACACTTGATGTCGAGTGAACGATAAACCGCTGGTTTGTTTGCGCTGAAAATGCGTGAAGCTCGGAATGAAAGCGCTCCCATGAAAGCCAGCGAGAGGGAAATTGCTTCAGAAACCCAGCACAAGAATCCGACGGAAGAGATAGAAATCTGGAGGGCATCCCTGCATTTTCAAATAGCTTCACTGAACTATTTACCTTTTCCGGTAGGCCACACTGTAAATTCATCGGTAGAACACCTTGTAGATTTTCCGGGTGATCCAAGTGTAGGGTTTCCTGTTGTCCTCCCTATGGGTTTTCCGGGTGCTCGATCTGTAGTCTCTCCGTTTGGTCCAACTGTAGATTGCTTGGTGTCGGGGGCTGTTAACCTTCATCATCCGACGAATCACTTATTCGAACATAATTTCTCGCTTTCTTGTCTGTGCTGCATGTCAACACTTCGGCCGGGGGAGACATACATGCCGCTTCGTCGTCGGCACTGATGTCTTCATCGGCACTCGCAATGTCGTCTCCAGCATCAAACACGTAATCAGGGTCACGGCAGTCATCCGAACTTTCCGGAGACTCCTCCCCAATGTCATCCAGCTGATCTGGCTGCTTCGTACGGGGTGAGCCTGCGTCTTGCTTCGCTTGCACGCGCGAGTTACAGGAAGCGGGGGAGTTTCAACTTCTCTAGCAGTATAGCGAGCTGCGTACTGCTCTCGTTTCTTGGTAACAAAAGCGCGCACCTCCGCTCGAGACACATAGGTGTGTACTGGCTCGAATGAAGCAAGCTGCGTAGCTTCCCCTAGCGCTCGACACCGCTTGGTCTCCGATTTCCCTCTATGCGCAACCTTCTCTCTCTAGGCTCGAAGCTGAAGCAAGTGCGCTCGCCCCCCCCCAACAGCGTGTCGCTACCCTTTTCACTCTCGTCGCTCTAGATTCGAGATCAGTTACAGCATGTAATCGCCAGCGCCACTACAAGAGACCAAAGAAGCATATACGACTTACCATTAGCCTTCCTCTCCCTTGTTTGCTCGCTTTGCTGGCCAGTTTGGTGAATGGCTGGAGGATCTCTAAAATTCTGAAAACTGCTTTCTCATCTCAAAGTTATTTTAAGCGCATGTCTCAGGATAGAAATGCAGATCGCACACTGGTGATACCGGAAAGTACACCTTTTGCTACCGCTTTGCGGCAGCAGTAGAACTTCTCCACGACGTTCACCTCTTCGTGCTACCGGCACAAACCTCGCACTTTCTCCAGCCGCTAGATGTTTTGTGCTTCGGAACTTTCAAGCAACTCTATCATAAGTCCCTAAAGCATTTTCTGCACGTATTGACAGCAAGCGGCCAGCAAAACAAAATGTCGCAGGGCTCTCTTGCGTGCCGTTGATTGAAGCGTGTTGCCCGGATAATGATAAGCCGTGTTCCTGACGCCAGGCAAGATGGTATGGTGAGATGCTACGGTGAGATGCCAGCGATGTCGCGAAAAGAGGCTGACCCCGAGTACACGAAAAAAAAACCCGAGTACAGTTAAATTTTCAAAACTATATTATAAGAACTGGACAGAAATCATGGATATACCGGTACAATCGGAAGAAGGTCGAGTACACTGAAGGTCATCCATCGTTTCGAGGGTGAGACGCATGCAAACCCATGCAAAATGAGGGCTTAGAGAGACCGTTTGCACCCGCAGCGAAGCGGAGGGCTGCAATAGTCGGCGCGTAGCCCGGAGTAGCTATACCAAAAAGATAATTACAATCTAATCCAGACACCGTGCCTTGCCGAGTCTACAGACGAGTGCCAACGCGCGAGTGTCCTACCAATATTATTATTAATCATGTCTAGTAATCGTCCATCTGCCGTTTTTCTAAAACTCGTCGAATCGGATACCTGTACTCGGGGTTCTGCTTCGTGTACTCGGGATCAGTCCGTTGTCCGGGAGCTAGACCACAATGGGGGACCAAGCCAGAACCACGGGTTACGGAGCAATGCCCACACGACCATCACCGCGACGGCGTAGTCATCAGCGATAACCACGGCGCCCGTGACGATGATAATCCAGCGCCAGTTCTGGTGCAGGCCCACTTGGACGTGATCATGATGCTGGGGTTGCTGAGGACGTCAATGGCTGTACTATTGATCGGCGTTACATCTACCTTGTATGATGCGACCGGGGAGCTGGCCGCGTACGTGGTAGTGGCGAAGCTACCAGCAAAGTAATTATTCACGATAATCTGATACCGTTAATGTACTGACGGAAGTTGGTTAGCTCAGACCTCTCCTAGTGGATGTAGTGCACTGGCTCCGGAATAAAAAGAAACCCCGTTTTCGTACTTCTACGCCAGGCTACGCGCCGCGCCGCCCTCTCACTGGGCAAAATGTAATGATTTAGCCGGAAACAGACCGGTTGGATTTTCGCACCAGCTCCTTAAAATCAAATTTAGGGTTAATGTGATGGCTCCTTTGCTTAATATTAAAATAAAACCCAGTTGTATGAAAATGGAGTTACAGTTGCTGGTACAGTATTCCTACTTAATTTAATTTATCTCGGTGATTTTATTTGCGTGGATTAGTAAACCTCGAGTCATCGATTTGAAATGATGGTTTATAAGGTCACACAGTACCTTGTGCTAGAGGAAGTTGGCTTCCGATAGTTTACAAAGTCTCAGTGAACGGCAGTTCACAGGTCCCCTTTTACCGACAGGGGGCGAAGTGACCAATTTAAGATAGGTTGTAAGCTGAATAAATATATAGGTAGGCTAAGGTTGAGCTAAATACAGACTATAAGTCACCTATAGAAAAGCAATGTCATCAGCCAATGGTTGGCTTTGGACGACCTTGGTACCTTGTACCAAATATCCCGAAGTATGACGTGTCATACTTCTGAAGCGTGACGTGTCACACTTCATGTAGCTAGGGGTACACCTACTGTAGGGCTACGTATCCCGTTACAATAAGGCCGTTCATTTTATATTTGTATGCGCTAAATTTAGGAGCGTACACCAAACAGGCGGGCTAAATTAATTCCTATTGGGCTGTTCGTACTACGTGACCGTATCCCTACCAGGATAATAAGATCAATTCTATTCTATACGACAATTATTGTCAATATGGGTCACCTGTTGGGTGCAGGGTTGGCAACGGCGGGTTGTCGAATTCGCCAATTCCCGGCTACCAAAGTGGGAATTACTGGCCGTGGTGGGCTTTCACAGGAAATCGGTATTCACTGCTTCGGTACCGATAGCCTGCTTAATTGAATCAAGATAAACCATCTCTACTTCGCAGCATCTATGCGACTACTGCCAAGGTACCAGTACAAAAAAGTTCAATTCCCACTCAATTCCCAGCAGGTCCCACTGAAATTCCCTGGGAAAATGGGCAAAAACGTGGGAATGTGCCATCCCTGTTGGGTGTGCCTGCTGCGAGGGATTTCCGTTGTTGCACCGCAAACATAGATTGCGTGAGTGAAGAATCACGGACTCCTAACCCGCTATCATGATGGCAGAGCATATTAACAGAGCGAATTTCATGATATACAAATTCTAACTTTAGAAGAGGTCTAAAATTCTGCCTAATAATACTTCTGACCCTCCTGCGTAATAGCCCAATTATACCGGCTGGATTTAGTCATGGTCTTTCCTGAGCTTAGCCCACAATCTACGCACCCGGAATATAGCCACATACATGAATTTGTGCTGCTGAGCAAGTTATCTCTCACCCTACTGCCTCTTTTATATATATTATAGATAATTGGGAGAGCCACCCGGCTTACAAATCTTAAGTATTAAATATTATAAATGTGTGCACTCTATAAAGAAAAAAGATCATTTACAGTGCAATAATTACATGCACAATTTCATTCTAATCTTAATGGTACTGTACTAATTCCTGGGATCTACTTATGTATTGAAGTAAAAAATAGTGCGGGACAAAAGTCGTGTAGTTTTAAATATGAGCAATTAAAAAAATAATACCCGTTGTCCCCTAGTCGGCAAATTCCCAACGATATTTTGAATCTAAGTAAGATTCACTTTATGCTACTTAATAACATGAAGCTGCCTATTGTGCTTTGCAGATCCAATGTCCCTCCGAGCTACTTATGTATGGCCTACGTCGAGCAAATAAAATCCAACCATAATATTCGTCGTAAGATTGTCCACCACGTACAAAATTCCGGTGGAGACTACATGTAAAGGTAGCTTGCTCGTTAAAGATTCCAGAACGTAGGACGACTAAGATTCGGATGATTACAGACCCCATAAGCGTATCAAAACCAGTGACACGGTCTTACAGTACCATCCCCAGTTGACCATAACAGCTTTTCCTTAAAGACGGTTTCTGTTTCCGCATACTAACCTTGATGGCGGCTACTTTTCTTGCGATCGCCACGAGCTACATTGGTGCCGCCTCCTCCAGCAATAATCCTACCTTAAACAATGATCGGATGGACTCTGCCATCACATTTCGACGACTCAGAGTCCACAAACCAGAAGAAGAAGAGAGATGGGTTGCAACTCCGCCCATTGCCGCTTCTTTCAAGCTAATGCAGAAGAAATCAGCTCAGTCGTCACAGTTGTTACATGCCGCGGAAAATGACACACCTCTTCCAACGGCAGTAAAAGCTCTCATCGTACTGATGGGTCTTGCCATGACAACTGGCGCTATCGCTTTTGGTGCCAAGGGAATACAAACGTTGAAATACCCGGACGTCAATGCGGGTTCGGCTGAAGCATGACGTCTAGCAGCAAATTTTGAAAGGCTGGGTATTTTAAATCCTACAGTAGAGGGAGCGACGAATGAAGACACACATATTGCGAGACAAAAAAATTGTAGGATTTTTTGCGTTTTTCCAAATCGGTCTCGATAGACAAGATGCCGGCCATCCGTTTTTATTGAAGGTGAGGCGAGGAAGGTGGAGGAGCTTGAGTAGAAGGAAGAAAAAAGAGATGTGATTGAATTTTATGAGTCTGTCTTCAGAGAGTTTCCTGGCACCATTGATTTATCTTTCCTGTAAAAGGTGATGTATCGACTTATGCAGGATTGGGTCCAGAACATATTTTGTATGGTAAGACATTCTGTACAATAGCTTGTACGCTATGTCACCAATTAGGACACATCATTGACAGCCTCTCTGTGTCCCAAGTTGGGGGCAGTTCTTATCCCAGATGGTGCAGCTGATTTGCATTCAAGACGTTGAGGACTTTGACTTAAATTACTACTTCGAGGATAATCGACTGTTTCTTGCGGTAGTGAGTTGCTAGAAAATATGTCTATACCTTTCCGAAGGTCGCAAAGTTCTTTACCGTCGTGCAGTTTAAGTATCAGTGAAATACGCTTGCTTTCTCTTCCGTATCGTTCTCGTTGAGTGCATTAAGTGTTCATTTCCTGATCTTTCAACTTTTGCACAGGTGCGGTTTTCTTCTGATTTGCATGCAAGTATTGAAGGTGTTGATCAAGTGCAATCCTCAAGGGAGCGAGACTTAGTGCGATGCGCGCCTGACGCTATAGTCTGGGCTAGCTCTGAGTGAACTTGTTTCACTCGGTAGCGAATCGTCTCCACTGGTCTCAATAACCTTGGGTTTTGTCATATTGATTTACTGCAATCAATATTTTGCTGCTATGGTTCATGTGATTTGCACAGTACTAATATACTATCTTTTGTATACACAGATGCCTGTCAGTCTTCGCACATCAATTTTGTGCCAACATCAAGAGATGCTATCGGACCGGTACTCAATGTGCGGTCTCTTATCGATCAGCAACGCTCTTCAAACTAGGGATTTTATCACCCCAGCCATGTTGCGGCCTATTTTGGCTCGGTTGGTAGAGGTGAGCCCAAGTGTGGATCATGGACATCCACGCTACGGTGCCTACACTATGGATGCGTTGCAGAAGGGCTTGCAGAAGCGGCGAAAACAGCTGATTTACCTGAACACAAAGTCGGGGTTCAAGAGCAGACCCAAGCGACCTGCCTCCATCGTGCGGAGTCGAAAATCGGCTCTGCTGATTATAGGTAGGCGGCCTGGGCAACGAGCAGGTACATGGCATTGTATCGCTCGTGCCTGGGTTGGTAACAAGTTTGTGTTCATCGATTCCGACACCTATCACTTCTTCCCTAACCGGGAGGAGCTTTTGACAAGTTTCTTTGAGACAGTAGATGGTGTGTACTCAATTGAGGACATTCCTCGTGCTAATCTTTAAGATTAAAATAAGACGTATTTACTTTTAACAAAACTTGTTGCTGTATAAATTTTACATATCGATTAGTATTTTTCTTTTCCTTTTTTTTCTTTTTCTTATTTTTGTATGAGTGTCTTACATAGTGATCCTCTTAGATTTATAAAAAGGGGTTTTGATAGTGCTTTTGTAAAAATGTCTGCTACCATTTCTTTGGTGTTGCAGTACATAATTTCAAATTCTTTTCGCTCTACTTTTTCTTGTACAAAGTGATACCGAATGACAATGTGCTTGCTTCTGCCATGCAGTTCTGGGTTGTAGGAAAGTTTAATACAACTTTGATTGTCCTCAAATAGGGTAATAGCATGTGAGCTTTCGTGTTTAAGCTCTACTAAAAGAAGCTTTAAGAAAATAACTTCTTGCATGCAGTGACATAGGGCTATGTATTCCGCCTCTGTTGTGGACAGAACTACGGTGTGGTGCTTTCTCGATTGCCATGAAATTGGGCTTCCACACATATATGCGATATAGCCTCCCACAGATCGTCGTGTCTCTGGGCAATTGGCGTAGTCTGCGTCGGAGTATGCAGTGAGATAATGCTTTGACTTATACTGCTCTAGATTTTGCTTTCCACCAAGGGTGATGCCAAGATTGCGCGTACCGTTTAAGTACTTCAATCCTCTCTTAACGGCATTCCAGTGAGGTTTTCCTGGGTTCACCAGGAATTGACTGACTTCTCGTAGAAAATATGCGAGATCAGGTCTAGTTCCCATCATTAAGTACATGAAGCTACCAACTGCCTCTCTGTACGGGATCGCTTTCATCTCATGTTTTTCTTCTGGCGTTTGGGGGCACATGGCCTCCGTCAGCTTCACACTGGGATCAGCGGGTGTACCAACCGGGTGTGCATCAAGATGAGAGAAGCGATCCAGGACTTTGGTAGCGTACTTCTCTTGGTGGATGAAAATGGTTCGGTCCGTACGGCTGCGCACGATTGACCAGCCTAAGATGTATTGAGCTTCACCGAGATCAGACATTTTGAAGCGCTGCTTGAGAGCGTTCTTTATGTTGTTAATGATATCAAGCGTAGGGGCTATGATGAGGAGGTCGTCCACATAGACTAGAATGTAGCATGTAGCTCCATCCACAACTCCAATGAAAACGCATTGGTCTTTGATGAGTTTGTGGAATTTCATGGTGAGAAGAAAAGAGCACAGGGTAAGATACCAGATCCGAGGTGCCTGCTTGAGACCATATAGGCTCTTCAAAAGCTTGCAGACTAAGTGCTCTTTTCCACGAACAGTAAACCCTTCAGGTTGCAGCATGTAAATTTCCTCATCGAGGTATCCGTTCAGGAAAGCGGTTTTAACATCCATTTGATGGATCTCAAGGTCAAGGAGTGCTGCAATCGTCAGTAAAAGTCGCAGCACTTCCATGCGGATCACTGGAGAGAATATCTCATCGTAGTCAACGCCATACTTTTGCAAAAAACCTTTTATTACCAGGCGAGCTTTATAGCGGTCAATACTGCCGTCTCCATTGTATTTTACAACGAATACCCATCGACACTGTAGGGCCCTTCTCCCTGTCGGTAGTTTTGTGAGGACCCACGTTTTGTTGTCAATCAATGATTTGTATTCACAAATGGCTGCCTTCTCCCAGTGTTGTGCTTCTGGTAGTTTCTGGGATTCTAGGAACGTCTTTGGTTCAGATATGTGTCTGATAGCCAATAGAGCGTAGATATGAGTGAGGTGCTCTTTTCGTTCGTTAATGTCGAGTGGATCATCAAGTAGACACGAGTGTTCATTCTCGTTCTGAGCGTTCGTTTTGTGTTTGACTTTCTTCATCTTTACTACTACTTCCGCGGCAAGCGCATTGACGCTGCGTTTTTAGTAGTGAGGCTATTGGAGGTAGCAATTGTGGTGTTGGTAGCGACGGTGATAGCGTCGGTGCGGGGCCATTTTGGTCCGAGATTGCGGGTGTATTGAGGAATTCCAAGTGTGGGAACTCGTCTTCTCTAAACACAACATCCCTGCTGTAGATAACACGGTTTTCTTTCGTGTCAAGGAGTCTATATCCCTTTTTGTTTGATGGGAGTCCTAAGTACATGCACTTCTTAGCACGTGGTTCTAGTTTTGTGCGGTGTATCTCAGGGATGTGAGCGTACGCAGTACACCCAAACACTTTGATGTAGTGCGCGGATGGTTTTCGCTTGAACCATTTCTCGTATGGGGTGACCTTATCGGTTACCGAGCTGGGAGTAATGTTCAGAAGGTCAGCAACGTGTTTGACGCATTCTCCCCAAAGAACCTGCGGTAGGTTACCATCAATGAGGAAAGCCCTGGTTCGCTCGAGTAGTGTACGCATGCGCCTCTCTGCAACTCCATTTTGCTGGGGCGTGTACGCATTTGTAAATTGTGCGTGCGTATTGTACTTCTGAAAAATCATTTTTCCAAGTTTCTCATATTCTCGGGCATTGTCGCTTTGAAGATGTCTAACTTCTTCATCGTGTATGTTCTCATTGAACTGGAGTTCGCCTACATCAGCGCGAAAAACGTTTTGTGCTTTCTTGCGAAAATCTTTATAGCATTCGTACAGCTCAGACTTTCGCTTGATGATGTAGATGAACATATACCGTGAGTAGTCATCTATAAAGGTCAGAAAATATTGACACCCCGAGAGTGTGGGGACGGGTAATGGACCAGCCATATCAGAATGAACTTTTTCAAGAGGGAACTTTGCCCGTTCAATGGTACGTTTATTGAATGGGTTACAATGGGCCTTGGCGTATGTGCAGGAAGAGCAAAAGTAGTCTTTCTTGGAATCAAAGTCCTTCATGCTCATGTCCATGACAGTGTTGGCTTTAGCCAGATCCTGCATAATGCGAAAGTTAGGATGACCCATTCGTTTATGCCAAAGTAAAACATTATCAGGCTTACCTGAAGTGGCCACATGGGCTACCTGACTTGACGTTGCCGGGCTCGCTTGAAACTGGTAGAGTCGAGTCCCTTCACCAATTTTGGCTTCAAATTTGGTTCGGCTAGCGAAGAGCAGAACGCACTTCTTTGCGTTGGGGAAGTTGATTTTGAAATCATCTTCGACGGCTTGGCGCACGGAGAGTAGGTTGAACTTCAGCTGGGGCGCATATAGCACGTTGGCCAAGGATATTTCTCGTTCCTTTCCCTTCGTGTCCTTGATTGTCATCTTGACATCACCAGTTCCTTTTATCGGAATCTGGGTGATTGCCGCCGACAGTGATTGACTTGCCAGCACTTGGGGATCAGCTTCTCAAACCACTTCGGATTGGACGTAACGTGGCGAGTGCAGCCTGAGTCGACAGTCCACACTGGGTCATGCTCCGCATCTTGGGCGGTGAGACTTACAGCCTCTGTTTCTTGTCTGAGGTCCAGAGTGGTGATGGCTATGATTCCATACTCGTTGTCGGAGTCGGTGTCCTTGCGGCGACCGTGGAATTTATTGTGACTCTTGGATTTTTCAGATGTATTCTTCTGATTGCCGTTCTGGCTTCTGTTTCGATTGCTGTTCCGCTTGCTCTTG